TCTAGCACCAGCTCCAGCCAATACCCACAGTGGACACTTGGCTGCTTCTCAAAAACACAATAAAAACAAAAGTGACAAGAGAAAACCCATCAATACCAAGAACAAAAGAGGAGTTAATATTATAGATCATATAGGCATTATCCATACAATTAAGATATTTCATGTACAAATGTCTTAAAAAGCACTAATTGTCAAGACTGACTCAAAAGGTAATAGAAGAGGAAAACAAATTTGTCGATTAAATAAACTAAATATCAAATTAATATACTCCCAAAAGAAGACTCTACTGCCCATGGTTTTATCTGTGAACTACATCAAACATCTCAATCAATTTAACAGAACAAAGTCTACAAATAGCCCACACATATATGATGACAGGTTGCATAGTAACTAAGAATACTGTTTTCAGAAAATGCTTTTATTTGTATGAAAAAGAACCATGACATCTACACTCACATTATACACAAAATTAACTTCAAATACACACATACACACACGCACAAACCTACTAGTAGCAAACAGGTGAAAATCTTTAGAAAGTTGAGCAAAGATAGGGAGACAATTAAAATATGAACCAACCACAAGAAAACAACTATTGGATTTGCTACAAGGTTAAAACTGCTTTTTGAAACAAAGTCAAGTCAGATTGAAACTCAACTACAGACACACACGACACACACGCGTGCACACACACACACACACACACACACACACACACACACAAACACACAAGTTTATAAGTAAACAGAAGGAGTATTTTCCCATCGGGCAAATGACTTGGAAAGACATCTTACAAAAAGATAATATATGAATGGGCAGTAAGTACATGACAAGATATTCAACACCAACAGCTATAAAACAAACTCAATCACAATAAAGTAATACTTTCCCTCCAGAATGGTTTAAATTAAATATAACCGAGGCTATAAAATAACCAAACACTCATGCATTGCCAATGGGAATGTAAAATGGTACAATTTGGCACTTTCTTAAAAAGTTAGATACAATTTCCACCAGAAAGGGTTCTAATGTTAACTGGTGATCAGATAAAATACATGCGTAGACAAATATTACGCAGGAACACAAAAAATGAACCACTGAATAAGTAATAAAATTTATAAAAAAAAAACTTAGAAACACTGTGTCAAGCAAAGAAGTCATACAAAAAAAGTGCAAGTTTATGATTCTATCGATGTGAAATTTAACGATGGGAAAACAAAGCCGTGGTTAAAGGAGGCAGATGAGCAATTAATCGCCTGGGGCTAGGGTTAGGCATTATAGATTTATGGGCAAAGAGCACCCAAGAAACTTGGAAAAGTGATAGACATTTTCTTTACCTTGATTTTAGTGGTAGATACCAGAGTGTGCTAACTTTTCAAAACTCACTGAATTGTATAAACAAACATACTCTTACGATATTATTCAAAAAAGTTCTTAAGGACACCATTAAAAAGCCAAAATCCCCAAAGCTGAAATTAATGCTATGTTTATATTTCAGGCAAAATCAGAAGCATAAGCAGCTAAAAGAAGTTTAGATAAGATTTTCAGAATAGTTGGCTTTTGTGGGTTTAAAGAAGCAGGGTTATCAGACTCAAACAGTTATAACATTCTGAGATGTGTTTCCAGGAAGATGTAAAAATTAACAGAATTAGAAAGGACAGGTATTCAACCTTTAGTTTCATTTAGCCCATAAGAATTATGCCACTTTGGTTGGATGGATAAGGATCAAAACTGGGAATTTCAGAGCCACAAACATTTTTATAAACCTGAAGATAGTCAATGCATCATAACTGCTTAGTCATTCACTGTGAGTGGAAAGCTTCAGATTTAAGGCTCCAAAGTGATGAGATTTTGCAATTGTTGTGTGCACACACGTTTTTGGCAAAAAGTCTCTGATTTGTGGAAGAACACGAGTAAAAACTGTTTAACCTGCTCTGCAATTTCTGGTGTCACCCTGGGCAATTTGCTTATCTACTCAGGTTCTCCTCTGGAAAATGGCACAATTTATGTGACAGAACAGCACTGAAAAGTTCTTTTTGTCTCCTCATTCAAAGAGATAGGAAAAAAAAAATCAATGTAGCTCTGTGAGATATAAGCCCACTGACAGAGAACATAATACAAGAGAGAAGGAAAAGAGAACAGACACCAAACAACACTAGCAGGATTCAAAAGCAAGGTAATAATTTTAACCAGTTGGTGACAATGGGAATTGGAAAGAGATTAATTAAAACAGTTGGAAGAATTAACACGACTATGACAATATGAGCAAGAAAAGAATCAAGTGTGTTTCCATGTTGTCAAGATTACCTGAGACCAGAGCCAGGGCAGAGCAGGGCTACATGACAACAAATGGTGAAGTCAGGACAAATTAAAACACAGATGTAATACTGCTAGCTCTATTTCTTAGACCAAAACAAACATGTGAATTAAGCATGCACTCTGAAATTTTCTAATAGCCACTTCCATTTTCTTTATAAACACAAACATACCACCACCTTAAGATACAACAGGTTAACTGTAATAACACAATTCACTTAATGCAATGTATACAAGCTATTTTTTGTGTGACCAATATTTTAAAAATTGAGATGTTAATATATTTTATATTCAACTTTTTACATAAAAATTCCCCAAATCTGATGTTTATCTTACAGTTAGAGCACATCACAATTTAGATTACAACATATGGCACGTAGTTTCCACAATGGACAGCACTATCCATTAGGTATGGTTAACTTTTACTAATGAGCACGTTAAAAATAACTAAGCAAGCAAACAAAAAGTCCATCAATATTCAAGTACATCCATTCAACATTTGCACTCCTCAGTAAAAAGAAACAGACTAAAACTGGATAAATCTGTAATGTTTTAAGCTCTGAAAAAAAATCAAAATTTAAATTCAATGTGATTATGTCTACATGACATTCAAAAAAAACCAAAGTGTAAGTACCAAAAACCACCCACTGGCTATCCAGGGAGGGTATTAGGAAGGCAGCCATGCTCACTACTATACCACCAACAAAGTACTAGGGAAGGTATTAGGATGAGGACTGACCTAAATTCACAGGAAGCTGCCTACTCAAAATGATGGGATCCTTCTTTATCTCAATTATGCAGATAAACTGTAAGCATTTATCAGAACGCACACCACTGCACCCTAAAAGGGTGAATTCACTACATCTACATCATATTTAAACAGATATTAAAATGTATTTCCAAAAGACAGTGCAGCTAAATAAGACCAAAACGCCTCAAGTAGACTTATTTATATGGATTTACTTTAAGAGAAATAAAATGCTATAGTATTCAAGTCTCAAAAAATGTTGTATTACATGATTTTCATCATCGCTATATTGTACAAAGTAATCTTAATGTGCTATTTGAGTTTTATCACAGTATATCTTAAAATAATTAAAAGAATTAAAATATGTTTTCCCTTATATATGATATCAATAATATATGGAAAATTAGATAAACTGTATTTCATCAATACAAAAAGAAATCCTTGCTTAAAAGGATATCATGAAAAAAAGGCAAAGATAACCCACCCACTGTGTGAAATATCTGCAAATCAAGTATCTAGTAAAGGATTTATATGAGGCTACTTAAAATTTTCATGGAAAAATAGAATTAAAGGTTAAGTTTATTGCAAAAAACTTTTTTTAAGCCCATGCAGTAACCTCAAAATCTGCTCTTTCATTGAATTTCTTGAAGTGTCCTGGTATAGTGCATAAAAATTACTAGTCAATAATAAAATGCCTATACACTGTTTAAAAACAAAGAATTTGAATAGACCTTCTTCAAAGATACACAAAAGCCCAAATATTTGTGAAAATAAAGCAATATTAGTATTTATTAGGGAAATTCAAAGTATAAAGAGGTAACCCTTTTACAACAGTAAGATGACTACAATCAATAAACAATCTAACATATGTTGGTGAGGATGTGGACCTACTGAAACTCCCTCGCACTGCTGACAGAGATATAAAACGGTTTGCCTAATTTGGAAAGTAGTTTGCAGTTCTTGAAAAGATTAAAACATAGGGTTACCATACGGTTCAACCATTCCACTACTATATATGTATCCAGGAAAAACAAAAATATTTATCACACAAAAACTTACACATGAACATTTACAACAGTATTCAAAACAATCAAGTATCTACAAGCAAACAAATGTGTTACTTCTACATTGTATCTTAACGAAAAGGAAAGAAGCAAATACAGACGCATCATGGGTGAGCCTTGAATACAGTAAGACAGAAAGGTCTGTCACAAAAGGGCACATACTGAATGAGTTCATGTATATGAAATTTTCAGAACACATAAATCAAGACAGAAAACAGACTAGTGACTGCTGGGAGGGACTGAAAGAGGAGAATAAGGGCACAGCAGCAAAGTGAGCACAGTGTCTCTAAAGTTTTGAAATGTTCTATCTATGGTTGCACAGCACTGCACAGACTAAAAACCAATGGAGTGTTCACTGAAACTCTGAAATACAGTCTGTGAGTTGCGTCTCCAGAAAGCTGTTAAAAATGCTCTTCCGTATATGGGAAAAGATTTTTGAGTAAATACTAAATAAAATAACTGCACTACAAAAGGTATCAAGTATACAAATGGATACTTTTAATAGCTGTAGATCTTTGACATTAAGAAAAACAATTGGGCCCGGCGCGATGGCACAGTGGTTAAAGTCCTTGCCTTGTACGCCCGGGATCCCATATGGGTGCCAGTTCTAATCCCGGCAGCTCCATTTCCCATCCAGCTCCCTGCCTGTGGCCTGGGAAAGCAGTCAAGGACAGCCCAAAGCTTTGGGACCCTGCACCAGCATGGGAGACCCAGAAGAGGCTCCTGGCTTCGGACCGGCATAGCATCAGCTGTTGTGGCTCACTTGGGGAGTGAATCATCGGACGGAAGATCTTCCTCTCTGACTCTCCTCCTCTCTGTATATCTGACTTTCCAATAAATATTAAAAAAAAAAAAGAAAGAAAAACAATTACCTTTTCCACTGAAGATAACTGTTGTTGTAATCCATCACATTTTTTGTTTGCTTCTTCAAAAAGAGTTTTATATTTTTCTAGTTGAGATTGTTGCATACCAATTGTTCGCTGCTGTCTCCCACAATCTTCTTCAAAATTTTTTACTTGAGTCTTTAAATCCTGAATTTCATCTTCCTACAGGTATAAAATTAAATACCGTGTTAAAACTACATAAAATCTGGTACTGAAAAATGAAGAAAATAATAGCAACTTTATGTGATCCTTGATGTTTATACTGATTTTCTTTTTTTAAAGGATCTATTGATTTGAAAGGTGAATTACAGAGATAGAAGGAGGCACAGAAAGAAGACAAGATGGTCTTCCATCTGCTAATTTCTTCTCAAATGGCAACAAAGGACAAGCCTGAACCAGGCTGAAGCTAAGGGTCTAGACGTCCGTTCCGCATCTCCGATGAAGATGAAAGGAGCATAAAAAGTACCTGGACTATTGTCCTCTGTTGCTCCTTCAGGCACATTAGCAAGAAGTGGAGCAACTGGGATGCGAACTGGCACTCACACAGGATGTTGAAGCCACAGGCACAATACCAGCCCTGATATACACATTTTCATTAGGAAAAATGATGTTGCCTTTTGATCTTCAAAAATCAGTCTCATTTGCACCCAGTAACTTATGATTTTAGGCCTAACACGAAATCTCCTCATTTTAACAAATGCTTGAAGTTATTTAGCTCCATGAGAACTCAATTTCGATAAAATTTAGTACTAACAAGTTCTGAATTTACAATATAACTGAATTGCATCTGAAAAAACTATTCAAACAATGTACCAGAAATTGCTACCTAAATTTTTATTCTTGGATGTCAGAGCATTCTCTTTAGAAAGGTTTCAGAAACTTACTTTTTTATTACATTCACACACAATATTATCCAACTCCTCCTGCATAACACGGAGTTTGGCCTTTAGAAATCTGATCTGTGCTTCTGTGGATTTAAACAATTACAGGCATTATCTTTTGTTCAATCTAGAACAGCACCAGTCATAAAATACAACACTATTTTATGGGAGAAAATGCTTGAGAGTCTTTCACCAAACTCCTTGGTAGATAGGGCACACTGAGGATACCATGTTTTCGATGATATTTCTGCATGTTAATAATAACAGAGAACAGAGTCAATGTGGCACACAAACACAATTCTCCCTGCAAGCCACCCACCTTTGAGAAATAAACCCACCCAATAAGAGGGTACAGGGAGGGATGACACATCAATGTTGGACGTGAGCAAAGAAACAAAACCCTCCTCTGAGCATCTGCACCACCAGCTTACATTCAAATTTAAGTTTATAGACCGAATTCCTAAGTAGCATAGTAGTCTAAAACACATCAAACAGAATTGAAAGTTCTCTCAGGTAAGTAATGTCCCCAAGAGTTTGGCAGAAACAAACACAAATCCTGTCTAGCAAAACTTAACTTCAATCCCAGACACTGACTGCAAAAATCCAGAGTGTAATACATGCCAATTTCTGAGAAATCAAAAAGTAGTGGATATGTTTTAGAAGATATATACTAATGTTTTTGTCATACTTTCTCCCACAAACCCTAAGATACACCTTTAGTAATTTCTCACCGATGTTATTTATTAAGTAATATTACCAGTAACTCATAGGTCCAACAAGTAAATGAGATGCACATAATACTCATCCTTTACTCAATTTCTCATCCAAAAGCTATGAATCCAGCAGAGAGAAAGCAGAGCTTGTCCTCACAGAGTTCCCCGAGAGCACAATCAACTGCCCTTGAGAAGCCAATACGACAAATCCCAGGAAGCCATACACCAGTGAGGAACCGCACAAACTGCTCCGCTCACACTCCTGCTTTCCTTTGAGGTGCCCCTGGAGTGAGCACTGGGCTGGGGCTGTGACCCTCCGACAGCTCTCTGATCTCAGCGCCACTCCCCCTAGCCTCTCAGGTAACACAAGACAGAAAGGAAATGACAACAACGTTGGCAATAGCTGGCATCTGGAAGGAAAAGTGAAAGAAGAAAATGAAAGCCTAACTTTTCCCATATGCTTTTCTCCTCAGCTGCCAATATTATCTCATGGAGCTGAGTACCATCATGCCTAGAGAGCCAAAGTGCTAACCTCCCTTCCTCACACCAGGTTTAATCTTCCAAAACTTTCTCTGTTTCAAACTTAATCTTAATTTCCTTCCATAACTCGCCACTCTACACAATCATCTGGAATAAGAACACATACAGAAGGCCCAGCGTGATAGCCTAACAGCTAAAGTCCTCGCCTTGAACGTGCTGAGTTCCCATATGGGTGCCGGTTCTAATCCCAGCAGCCCCACAACCCATCCAGCTCCCTGTTTGTGGCCTGGGAAAGCAGCTGAGGACAGCCCAAAGCCTTGGAACCCTATAACTGCATGGAAGACCCAGAAGAAGCTCCTGGCTTTGGATCAGCTCAGCGCCAGCTATTGCAGCTGCTTGGGGAATAAACCATTGGACAGAAGATCTTCCTCTCTGTCTCTCCTCCTTTCTGTGTATCTGCCTTTCCAACAACAAAAAAAAAAAAATAAATCTTAAAAAAAATGAACACATAGACCAAAGATGCTAAGAAAAATAATGAGAGCAGACAAGTGATTCATCAGTAAGAAAGCAGTAGTATTTAAAATCTGTCTGGATCCTGGAAGCAGAAACCTTTGGACAGGGCCGCAACAGACTGTCTATTATGTATTGTGGAGCAGCCCCCCATCTGCCCATCAAGACACCTTCGCAAACCGAAAGGGGACATCTTACTGTGTTTATCTTTTCTACCCATAACTCCAGAAAGTTTGATTAGATCAGAAAATATCATATATGCAGAAAACTGATTTTGTTCCTTGCAATTAACTAGTATATAAAATAATCATTACATATACAAACTATTATGACCTGTCATAAAAACAGAATTTTAAAGATAACTTTGACCACCTAGTATGAACTAGAAAATTTTCAAACAAAACAATTGTTACCAAAGGGCCGTGTGGCTTGCATGAGATCATAACTGAATTATAGTTCATACATACTCAACTGTTTGGTTTCTATTTCAATAACACAGGTGACTCCTCATAAATTCAACTTTTACAGGCATTACTACTGACTTACTGCTCATTTGATTTTATCTATTAATCTACTTACTCTGCTCACCATCACATACACCCAACTTGATTATTCTGAAACAAATCCATAATTCTTTTTTTTAAAAAAATTTAAAAAGTTGTTCCCAAAAGTCTTTTCTACTATGACATAAAGAAAAACCTTTGATTGAAGATAACGAACCTGTCCCAATGTCTTTACTAACTCCAGAGAAAATATCGTCATCTACACATTCAGGCAAGCCTTCTTCCTCCAGCTGCCCTTCAATTCTGCTAATTGTTTTTGCAAGAGAAAAATCTGAGAAATCTTCTGGAATGGCAACATCATCAGCAGTGTGCATCTCTGAGTATTTTAATTTTACGCTGAAAAGGAAACAAAACACATTTGTGCATGTATGTTATAACAGGATAGGCAGAACAGATAATGGTTACGCAAACAACGAATTTAAGTTTTTACACTTGTGACGAAACTGTAATTGCTCCTTTCAAGTCCCATTAAAAGACATAACAGACTTTGGAACTTCATGAATCATACACAAGCACCAAGTTTGGGAAAGCTTATGAGGCTATCTGACTATCCTTTGAACCCAAACAAGTGAATAGCAAGATGAAGAATACCAAAAGTCTTCTGCTAGGTTAAATCTAGCACAAGGCTTTTGATTTTCCATGCTTCTCAATCTGACTATGCAAACAGATACCACACTGGGCATGAGTCTACAAAAAACAAAACAACAACCTCTTCATGATAAACAAGAATTATCCCAGTCAAGTTCAAAATGTTTTCTAACAAAAAAAGCATTCTATGTATAACAAAAAAAAATCTTTTTGGATTTCAAGTTTATTTACAAGGCAGAGACACAGTGACAGAGAGCTCTCATCTTGGGTTCACTTTCCAAATGCCTGAAAAAAAAGGGGCCTTGGTAGGCGCCTTGGTCAGCCCAGAGGAAGGAAGCAGGGATACAGTCCTGGGGTCCCACTGCTGCCCGAAGCATCCATCAGCAGGAATGGAGAACTGAGATGGGTGCTGGGGCTCAAACTCAGACACTCCAATAGGGGCCTTGGCGAACTCAAGTGGGGTCCAGTGCTGAACCAAACCTCTCCCATTCTCCCACAGAAACATTCCTAACCCAGATCAAAAATGAACCAGATTTGGCGTTGACTTTTAAAAAGGAAGTCAGGTGTTAATAGCCTAACACAAAAGCAAAGGTTTCATTCTCTTTGGGAAGAAAAAAAAAAACTATTTGCCTTCTTAAAAAAAGATTTGTTACTATTATTAATAATATTTATTGGAAAGTCAGATATACAGAGAGGAGGAGAGACAGAGGAGGAACCATCCATTGATTCACTCCCCAAGTGGCCGCAATGGCCAAAGCTGCACCAATCCGAAGCCAGGAGCCAGGAATCTCTTCTGGGTCTCCCGTTCGGGGGGTAAACAGTCCCAAGGCTTTGGGATGTTGTTGACTGCTTTCCCAGGCCACAAGCATGCAGCCTGGATGGGAAGTGGGACTGCCGGGATTAGAATCAGCACCCATATGGGAACTTGGCACATGCAAGGTGAGGACTTTAGCCACTAGGCCACCATGCCAGGCCCAACAACTTAAAGTCTGAAAACAGGACAACCGTTTCCAGGGAATATATCTGTTCCGACAATTAAGATACTTGCAAGGATGCCTGTGTCTTACACTGGAGTACAAGGACTCAAACCCCAGCTCTGCCCTGACATCAGCCGATGCAGATCCTGAGGGGAAGAAGTGATGGCTCAAGGAATCAGGCTGTTGCCACCGATGTGGAGACCTGAATAGAGTCTTGGGAGTTTTATGAGGAGGTAGGGGAAATCACAGAGCCTCTGGAATTGTATTATAAAACTAAAAAATAATAATAAGAAGAAAAAAACAAGAAAGGAACATGTAGCCTGGCTTGGTAGCCTAGTGGCTAAATCCTTGCCTTACACGCCCAGGACCCCATATGGGTGCCGGTTCTAATTCCGGCACCCAGCTCCCCATCCAGTTCCTTGCTTGTGGCCTGGGAAAGCACTCAAGGATGGCCTAAGGCCTGGGACCCTGCACCCGCATGGGAGACCCAGAAGAGGTTCCGGGCTCCTGGCTTCAGATTGGCTCAGCCCTGGCCATTGCAGCTATGTGTGGAGTGAACTAGTGGACAAAAGATCTTTCTCTGTCTTTTCTTTCTGTAAGTCTGACTTTCCAATAAAAATAAATCTTTTAAAAAGAAACACACATACACATGTTACTACTTTCTAAGCTTATATAAGCAAAAAATATTTGAAATTATTGAATGTCAATGAGACCCATGAAATGAAAATTTTGTATATTTGGAATACAAAAAGATCTAGAAAAACATAAGGAGAGTCTGGGATTGTGGCATAGTGAGTAAAACTGCCACATGTGACACTGGCACCCCATGGGTACCAGTTTGAGTTTCAGTTGCTCCACTACAGATCAAATTCCCTGCTAATGTGCCTAAGAAAGTAGCAAAATACGATCCTAGTGCTTGGGCCTCTGCACCCACGTGGGAAACCCAAATGAAGCTCTAGGATCCTGTCTTTGACAGGGACCAACCCCACCTGTTATGTGGGAGATGGAATATCCCTTTTTATTCCAAACAGCTTAATAAGTAAGAACGATGATACTGGCTGGGATTGGTGTTGTGGTACACCAGGCAAAGCTGTACCTGCCTGAGATTCCTGCATGCCATAAGGAGCCGGTTCATGTCTTGACTGCTCCACTTCCAGCTCAGCTCCCTACTAATATCCCACAAAAGGCAATGGAAAATGTCCAAAGTACTTGGACACCTGCCATCCACATGGAAGACCAAGAAGCTCCCAGCCCTTGGTTCCTTGCTTCAGCCAGGCTCTTTGCTGGCCATTGTGGTCAACAGGGGAGTGAATCAGCAGACAGAAACTCTGTTTCAGATTCTCTCTCTAAATCTGATTTTAAATAAACAAATCAACTATCTTTCTTTTAAAAAAGAGGATGGTATTTAGAATTATAACCCTGAAAACAAGGAGAGTAACATTTTCGTTTTTTTTTCTATTTCTTTAGATATTCAACAGATTTAATATAGTTCATAATTAAAATCCTAAAAATGTAATAATTTTCTTTCCCTCCCTCCTTTCTTATTTCTGAGATTATATACTTCTAAGTTACATTAGGTGAAGGGCTTAACTCTCCAACAAATAAAGAGTTCAACAAGCAAGAAGCAAAGGACTATAATGAGATTATAGGCAAGGACTACAAATAATAGTCAAATGGAATGATGACCATTTCATCTGTATAAAGTCCATTTTAGTAATCACCTTTAAAACTACAGTATACCTTGAATTTGCTTTCTTTCCTTTATTTAAAGAATGTGATTTGTTTTGTATCTTCTTTACAGGACCACTGTTTTTGGTCTTCAGCTACGAGGAAGGAATTTGAATTATTGATTACTTAAGAGTCTAGCCATTTGACAAGGAGAGAAATTTGAACATATTAGGATTTGCAATTTTACCACAAAGAATTATTTTTTCATGGAATTAATCAAATTGTATTTTCAATATTTCCAGAAATGCTTACCTGGAAAAGACCTAGACAGCACTGGAAGTATGAGATTCAAGGAAAGGAACTACTGAAGGACATTCACATACCAGAACATGGATGTGCTGAGTCCCTGGCAGGCTGCCCCGGGGCTCACGTGAGCCATTCCCTCACCCAAAGTCTCTGTAAGTGTGGAACTTGTGGAGTTACCTCTACGCTACAGTCACTAAAATGAATGACCCTTCCCAATCACAGCCTTCAGAGGTGAGTACCTTGCTTTTCCAGGGTCTTCTCTCTACTAAAACTTCAGAGAAAAAAAAATCAAGTCTCAAGTTACAAACTCATTTCCTTTACAGCTCTCTCCACTGTATTTCCTAATAGGTCAGTGAAATTATGAAACAAAAAAGGGTTCCATGCACTTGATGGACAACATTTCATGCATGAACCCCGTCTGAGTACCAGGGAATATATTCTAAAATGATACCCTTATACTGTTTTGTCTAAATTCTAAATTTGGTAGAATGGAATTATATTTATAGAAAGCCCAAATCCATACCTTAGTTTCCGATTGCAGACTGAGCTTCCCTTCAGATAATAGCCCTCTGTAGATCAGAAATAAACATTTTAGTAACAGATGAGAGCTGAAAGTTTACAGATCTTATATATAAAAGATACACAACTACTAAGTAGACTCTGCTATAATTCTGGTATAATTTATCCACATGTGAAATTTATTTCCAGTGAGTGTTACAAACAAGAAAAGTGTTTTGATTAAGCATTCACCTTTTAGAATATGTATATTAATACCAATATTTTTGTAGAAAAATGTTGCACAGATTTTAATGAATGGAAATCATAAATGGTGACTGGAGGCTACATACAAAGATTACTCATTTTAAAAATGATTCACTACAGATTTGTTTTGTTCTTTTTATTGTGAGCCTGCTCAGCATTCTTATTCCTTTGATGCATTTGAAGAATCTGGCAAGAGCTTGTTTCCCCCAAACTGAACAAATGCTACAAAGTGATAGATTAGGCTTGCCTCAGTCACAGCTGCATGTTTGGCACTTTTAGTATGTGGCATTTAAGCTCTTCAATTGGTGCTAAATATTTGTCAGGTGAATAAATAAAATTTACCTCAAATGCAGTTCATTTTAAACTACAGTTTTTAAAATATGTTTGCAGCTTAAAGCATCAAGTATTGTCAAGGGTGTACAACTATGGCCTGGGGCTAAATCTACCCCCCATTATTCACTCACCTGTTATCTATGACTGTATTCACATTACAACAGCTAAGTTTTGTATTTCAAACCATTGCAACAGCTAAGATTTTGTACTCCAAGAACACAGACATACAAAATATTTACTATCTGGCTCTTAATGAAGTTTGCCTACCCATGAACAAATGTCTACAGCATCTACACTGATATATTTTAAAATATAAAACATTTTTATTTACTGTTACCATGTAAAATATTCAATCACATCCTCTAAAGATTCAATAACCATAAGCACCAATGTAGTGTTGTGGCACTGCCTCCAACTCTGGCATCCCAAATGGGTGCAGTCTGAACCCTAGCTGTTCCACTTTCCATCCAACTTCCTGACAATACACTTGGGAAAGCAGCAGAGCCTGACCCAACATCTTGGACCCCTGTACAAAGAGAGAATATCCAGATGAATGATGGAAAGTATTTTTCTCTCTTTCTGTTTCTCTCTCTGTAACTCTGCCTTTCAAATAAATAATTTCTTCTTTAAAATTCTAACTGTAGGGCCCGGCGGTGTGGCCTAGCAGCTAAAGTCCTCACCTTGAACGCACTGGGATCCCATATGGGCGCCAGTTCTAATCCCGGCAGCCCCATTTCCCATCCAGCTCCCTGCTTGTGGCCTGGGAAAGCAGTCGGGGACGGCCCAAAGCCTTGGGATTCTGCACCCACGTTCAAATCAGCATAGCATGGGCTGTTGCGCTCACTTGGGGAGTGAATCATCAGACGGAAGATCTTCCTCTCTGTCTCTCCTCCTCTCTGTATATTTGACTTTCCAATAAATAAATAAATCTTTTTTTTAAAAAAAATCTAACTGTAGTAAAGGCTACACAATTACTAATCACACACAAGATTTGTGCAATACTGAAAACAAAGATATACATAGCTAATACTAAATGCAACTTCTCACACTACAAAAAATACCCTTGGGAGCCTGGTGGCGTGGCCTAGCAGCTAAAGTCCTTGCCTTGAACGCCCCGGGATCCCATATGGGCGCCAGTTCCAATCCCAGCAGCTCCACTTCCCATCCAGCTCTCTGCTTGTGGCCTGGGAAAGCTGTAGAGGACAGCCCAAAGCTTTGGGACCCTGCACCCGTGTGGGATATCCGGAAGAAGTTCCTGGCTCCTGGCTTCGGATCTGTGCAATACCGGCAGTTGCACTCACTTGGGGAGTGAATCATCGGACAGAAGATCTTCCTCTCTTTCTCCTCCTCTCTGTATATCTGACTTTGTGATAAAAAATAAATAAATCTGGCAACTACACAAGGAAACTGTTAGGGGTGATGGAATCTTTCTGTTTATGTGGTCACACAAAAGTGCTTAAATTTAATAAATAGCATATCTTAAGCAGTTGTGATTTATGATGTATAAATTATATAAATAAAAAATAATTTTGAACATCTGTGGTTCCACGTTTAGCTGTGGCACTCCCAAGAAGTTATTGTCCATGTGTTGCTTTTGATTTTTTTAAAGATTTATTTATTTTGAAAGAGAAAAAGAAGAGGCAGAGAGAAAGCAATTTTGCATCTACTGGTTCACTGTGCGGAAGACTGTAATGGCCAGCACTGGGCCAGGCTGAATTCAGGAGCCGGGAATTTCATCTGGGTCTGTCTAGGGTGTGTTAGGGGCCTAAATTTTTGGACCATGCTGTGCTGCTTTCCTCAGGACACGAATAGGGAGCTGGATCAGAAGTTAGATAACCAGGACCCAAATCCAGCTTTCATATGGGATGCTGGTGTTACAAGTGATAGCTTTACATGTCACACAATGTCAGCCCCATACATTTTTTTTATTAGTACATTGAAATTTGTGTTACCATTGATACATGTATTTGTGCATACATACAACATGAAACTAAACCTTATATGTAATTCTGTATAATATTTTATGAACCTTACGCAGGTAAGTTTAGGCAAGACTATCCAATTAACTGGAATAGCATCAGCAACAATTGATTTCTAGCTTCTGATTTCACAAGAATAAAAATAAATTTTGGGGCTAACATAGTGGTATAGTAGATAAAGCTAGCACCTGCAGTGCCAACATCCTATGTGAATGCTGATTTGAGACCTGGTTGCTTTACTTCTGATCCAGCTTTCATGCTGATTTTCCTGGAAAGCAGCAGCAAGTGGCCTAATGCTTGGGAGACCCAAAAGAAGTTCTTGGCTTCTGAGTTTGGCCAGACCCAACCCTGGCTATTGCAGTTATTTGAGGAGTAAACCAATGTTTGGAAGATCTTGTGTCTTGTGTTTGTCTCCACTCCCTCTCTGTCTGCTTTCCAAAAATAAATAAGATCTTTAATTTTTCCTAAGAACAAAGTGGTGAAGACACCTGTTTATCTGCAGCAGGTAGATTTCTTTGCTACTTTTTATCATAGTGATTGATGATTAGTTGTGAGCTGTGAAAGACAAAAGGTCATTCAGTACAGATATTATCTGTTCGGATTGGAACATGAATGATCTACCTAAATAATTATAGTTGAGTATTACATATTATGTCTTTAACTCACAAAATTTTTCTTTTTTCAACAATATATGGTGGATCAAAATTTAGTTTCCTATTAGTAAAGTCTTTATGCTTTCTACTTTTCTGTCAATGGTATTTACCCATATATCATTTCAATCATATTTTATTTCTAAGTCTAAAAGCAACAGACTCTACAATGCAAAAATCAGCAAGGCTGGACAAAGGATAGAAAAATAGATCACTGGATGAGAATTGAGAATCTAAAATAAAACTTAAGCCCGTGGTCAACTGATTGTTGATCAGAGTATCAAGGCCATTAGTAGCAGAAAGAACATGCTACTCAAGAAATAACACTGACAACTAAATATTCAATTTCAAAGAATGAAAGTTGCTTCTTATTTCCTACCATACAGACAAATTAACTCAAAACAGATCAAAGACCAGAGTGAGAGAGTTAAAGCTGTAACTCCCAAGAAACCTAAGGCATAATAAATCTTTATTGCCTTGAACTAGGTAACTAATTACTGTGTCATTTGTACTTGCAGAACAGCCAATTCTCTAAAATGTATTTCTTTTCTATAATACGATGCCAAACTCACCTGACAGCAGCGGACTGCTGATACCTAGTTTTCCAACCTCTTCCACTACAGCAAAAGTTCATTAAAATGTGTCCTGCCTTCCAATTTAGCACAGCTGTTGACAGTTTCACTAAATTCACTGCTACTGTATGACATTAACCCTCTATTTTCACTATAGCCTTCAACACTAGCTTTTTTGCTGCTTGCCATCTAACTGCTAATTCAAAGCCACACTTTGAGTTCTCATTATATCAGTTTCCAACTGAGTGAGAAAGGCTAAGAGTCACCTAAAAACCTCAGCATCTTGACACACTCAGTAGATACAGACCTCTTCCTTCCACATACTCCACAGGACCACCTAGATATCTGGCTGGGAGGTTTTGCCAAGTGAAATTTCACAGATCTCCATAAAGAAAGTCAGCTGACACTCTCTTCCACTTGGCTGGGAGGAGGTTAATCCATCCTTGGTTCACAACCCGATGAAAAGGGTTAAAGACTTGGGATTTGCTCAACTGAACTTGAACTGTGGTTATGCACCATGGGGGGAGGGTTGTGGGAGGAGCGGGGGAAATCCAAGCACCTATAAAACTGTATCACATAATACAATGTTATTAACAATTAAAAAATAAAGATATTAATTAAAAAAAAAGACTTGGGATTTGGGTTATCACCACTGCCTCTGCTCTAGAATTTTTTTACCTTCATTCACATGCATGCTGTGCTTTTCCTGTTCTATGAAAATAACAACAGGAACGTAAGAAGCTTGCATTGTGTGTTACATTCAAATAGTATTGCTTTATATATTGTGTATTCTTCAAGTTACATATTTTAAACTTTACCTTGAAAACTTTAATAGTAAAAGATCACTTACTTTAAACTGCAATCATCTCCTTCTTCATATGATTTTGTGTGTGATGAAACAGGCCTAGAACGCACCTCTTGCTGATCTCGCTAGTTAGATAAGTAAAATAATGAGTAACAAAGGGAAAAGAGCCCACAAATCATCTTTTGTCATTTTAGCACCATCCCAAGTTTCTATGACATTAACACAGAATCTGAAATGCTATAGGAAGATTTATAGATACCATAGTTTCACCTTTCACTTGTTCTATGTTGCAAAACCATTCCTAAAAGAGAAATGTCCAATCAAAAAAAATCAGTCTTACTATGGGGCCTGTTATGAAAGACTTTCCAATAAGAAATAAATCTTTAAAAAAAAATCAGTCTTACTAGGAAAATTTGCATAACAAAGCCTGTATGTGTAATTTCTAATTTTTTCCCTTAAGTCTTCTATGTCATGTTCCATGCAATGAAAATTGGAAAGATGCATAAGAAATGAAAAAAATCCATTTAATTAATATTTGTTTCAAATCTGGCAAAATTTCAATCCTGACAATATACAGAAAAATGAAGGGCTCGGCACAGTGGCCTACTGCCTAAAGTCCTCTCCTTGCATGCACCAGGATCCTATATGAGCACCAGTTCATATCCTGGCTGCTCCATTTCCTATCCAGCTCCCTGCCTGTGATCTAGGAAAGCAGTGGAGGACGGCACAAAGCCTTGGGAATTCCGCACCCACATGGGAGTCCCAGAAGAAGCTCTGGGCTCCCGGCTTCAGATTGTCTCAGCTACAGCCATTGTGCCCATGTGGGGAGTGAACCAGTGAATGGAAGATCTTTCTCTCTGTAATTTCTTCTGTGTATCTGCCATTTCGTAAAAAAAAAAATAGTAAAAAATATTTTACTGTAATACACTAGCAAACTGTAACCATTTACAGATATTACATGAAAGGTTACGTTATATCCTTATTCCTAAGCTAATGAAGAATTCGTACTTGTATAATATTTACTTTCCTGTCTATGAATTCCACTTTGAGTAACACAAGGAGTTCAAAGGAAGAATGACATTTAAATGAAACTAAGTACTAGGAAAAATTTGAAAGCAGTCATTTAAACTCCTCTCACAAGGGCTACCCTAACAGATCAGCTGACAATGGGAGTGCATAAGGGGCCTTCTTAAACACGGGAATACCCAATTTGGTTTCAGAATGGTAGATAACATGCTGGTGATATGCCTGGTGATATGACCTCACCATGTTTGCTGGATGGAAAATGTGATTCTAGTCTAACCCTAAGTATCTGAGTCACATCCAGATGTAAAAGTTGAAGAAACAAAATATTCTCTGCATACCACTAGTAACTTATGAATTATTTAACTCTCATACTAAAAAAGCTTCTGGGGTTAAGATTCTAATTAGATGACAGGAGAATGTAAAACTGGGAAACATTTCTTCAATAGTACTTAGAAAACCTGGCATTCCCAAACATACAGACATACATATACATGTATATCCCAGATACACACACACAAACACGAAATACATGTCTTCACTTACGATTACTTCTTCAGCTTGTCGAACCAGCTCAGCTGTTTTTGCCTCCAGTTCTGCATTTACACGCCTAAAAGCAGAAAGTTGAGACATACTGAAGATTCCTAACAATGGAAGTAGTTAGACTTTAACGAATGACCTAATAAACCAATGCCGATCACTGACATGACATTTCTACTTAAGACCTACCTTATAGAATTTATCATCCCAACTCCTCCTCTTACAGTAGGGAATCCAACACCATCAGTACTGGCCTTTCTGTGGCCCTTTAACTTACTTCAGAGGTGAGGGGACTTATCCGCATCATAAATTTGGAAAGAATATAAACTGATGAGTTCAACCCAGTTCCACCCGTCCTCTTCTTGCAGTCGGCTTCCTGCAGAGAAGGCAAGGCTCTAACCCGCTCCAGCCCAGAGCACAGGGGCAGGCAGGGTGGGGCAAGGCCACTCTGGGAAGGGGTGCTACTGTCACGAGGGAGCGACACCCGAGGTCAGCTCTACATTTCAAATCCACTGTGTCAAAAATTAAAGTGACAATTCTGATCCTCACCTTCCACTATTTTTTTTCAATCCATGCAGTATACAGTGGAAAGTATTATCTACCAGAATGGAAGAAAATTGTCTTTGAAGGTTAGCTTGCTTACAATTTTACAACCATAATTTCATTTCTAATTTTTCATCTAACGCAGATTTTTTTTTTTTACTGTTTTCCCACAGCCAAGAGAGGAAATGTTTATGTATCTGTATCTTTAAAATGCCACCATATTACTCCAGTGAACCAGTTAACATTATGTATTAGGCCACCCTTACTGTCAAAGCCCCCTTCTCACTTTTTTAAGGTTAATAGTACCATCAGCATCTTTCAAAACACCCTTTACTTTCCTACTGAAAGGTCACACTTTCAAACCATCTAGACTCTCTGGAAGTTAGGAAGGCAATAACAATGAATAATCAGAAATCACAAATCCCAACCCCAGGAAAAAGGGGCATTACCATGTTCTTTTATAAAGCAATCTGATGTTTTAATACTTATTTTTATATCTTGAGATTATCTGGAGAGAATATTTACAAAATACTTAACAGCTGTATTTAAAATGCTATTCATCTGAATTTTAAATTTTTCTAGCAAGGGTTATGAAGACTTAAAATAGAAGCCCCCAATCCTTACAGTAAATCAGAATGACTAAGAAAGAGTCTTCAACTCCAAATCCAAGGAAACACCAGATAAAATATGAAGGAAATATGGCTAAGCTCCAAATGCAGGCAAGGGAAATGCCCTGGAACTAAATATAAAGCAGCAATTCAAAGTGAGAGCCATAAACAGGAACAGAAGCCAAAATAGCTTAACAGATAGAGGCTGCTGCACGTGTGAGTCATGAAGGGCTACACCTGTGAAACACACTACCAAAACTCCACCCATAACTTGAGGCGAACAGAACAGAAGCAACAGCCATGGTGGAAGAGATTCTCCTGTGAGTAGCTGGAACACACAGAGTGCAATCTAATTCCCCTTTCCAGATGGTACAGGGACACCCTGCCAAAACTTCAATGTGGGAGAAAGCAGGTCTGGAACCTCTGAAATCTCTAAGCTAATAAAGCTAAAGTTTAAACCACCCTACAGAGACATTTACTCATTCTGACAGCAATCCTACTGCAGTTTAAAAAAGAAGTTACACAAAGAAACAAGCCGCAAAAAAGAGAATTAACAAAATGAAAAGGAAAACTTGTACCGTGAGAAATGGAGACAAAACCAAGGAGGACTCTGTGATTAAGATCTCCAATTCGAAAAAACAAAGAATGGAAATCCCATAGATAGCATTACAAAGTAACTCTGAATCTGGAAAAAGAGATCACACAAATGAAAATTAAAGCAAACCAAAATTAAAACTTCAGTGACACTTCATGGGTATGTTAGGTACTTCTTTATTTTGAACACACTACCCAGTTGATCCATCAGTGTTTTCTTTTGCGCTCTATTAATATAGATCTACTGTTTCCTGATACCTTTTTCTTCACATTTCTTTTTTTCAGGTTTACTTTTCTCTTTCCTGAAGTACAGACTAGTCCGTACCTCTTTCTGCGAAGAGGCAGTCTTTTCTGAAAATTCAGTTACTTTGAACTTACTCTTAAATGACATTTTATCTCAACCCAATTATCACTACTAGAAGGGATAATTTCTAACTTTCTATTTCTGTAAAGACCAATGAAATGTTAAAAAAAAAAAAAAAAAGTAGAAGAAGAAAAAAGGTTAGACAAGGCTGGAAGGTTGGCATGGTGGCAAATCAGACTAATCACGACCAGCAGTACCAGCATCCCATACAAGCCCAGGTTTTAATCCCCACAGCCCCACTTCCCATCCAGCTCCCTGCTTGTGGCCTGGGAAAGCAGTCGAGGATGGCCCAAAGGCTTGGGACCCTGCACCCATGTGGAAGAACTGGAAGAAGCTCCTGGCTGCAAACTCTGGCTTTTGTGACCATTTGGGGAATGAACCAGCTTATGAAAGATATCTCTCTCCCTCACTTTCTAACTCTTTCAAGTAAAATAAATACTTTTTTAAAAAAAATAGATTAGCAAGGAAACCAAAGACAGTTCTTTGAAAAGGCTAATTAAAATCTCCCAACCTAGTAGAGAAGAAAAAAATAAAATAAAATAAACCACACTAGAAAAAAAAATACAGAAAAAAAGGTTGAATAAGAGGAGTACTTCAAAACATTCATGGAAAAATGAAATTAAATTTACACTAGCGCAAAAAATTTGAAATCCACAGTTTTAAACAAAACATTTTCCGTATTTTTGCAGATTCCTCCCATAAAAAGACTCCTAATGCTTGTTATATATCCTATATGCCAGGATATATAACAAGCATTGAGCAAATTCCTGAAAGCATACTTGAAGCTCAGAAACCAAAGTCTATTCTAAAAACAACAGTGGAAAAAATATATATATAATAAAAGCAACAGTGGCTCCAAATACATAAACAACCACTGAAAAAACTGAAATCACAAGCAAAAAGAATTCATCTGACAAAGATAGTTTCACAACTTTCATCAAGCAGCAATCGCTGGTCCTAAAGGCTTACAGGGCGGCAAAAAATCCGAAAAACTACCCAGCCTATTTCCTAGGAGTAAGATTTCTATTTTAAGTAAGTAACAGTAACACCAAAAATAACTAGAAGAAAACCATACTTCACGTGTGCCTCAGGTACAAAAGATCCAAAGTAAAAATCACAGCAACTACATCCCAGAGTCTTTACAGCAAAATGACCAAACTGTGTCTGAGGCACTTGCTCAAACATTGAGGAAAAACATCATCACCTGAATCCGAAAACGTGTTGAAGGATTTAACACAAATTAGGAAATTAGGGTAGTAATTTCACTAAATTTGGTAACAGGAACCTTCTAAAACCCTGCATACAACAAATCTCAAAGATAATGACAAATTCTTTTAAATGAGCTCCTTATGGAATAGAAAATGTGATGGTGAACTTCCTTATTACAGTAAAGATCCTAAAGTGAGAGGGAAAAAAGTTGTGAACTCACAAAACTGCTGTAATTTGCATATGATATGACTATCTTCATCAAAACCTCCAAAGAAATGTGCAGAATGAATTAGTAAATTTAGAAGTCAACCCTGAGCTATACAGAGGGTGGTGCTGCCATCTGCATCTCTGACATGCCCTCAGGGCCATCAGCTCATTCACTATTCAGCTCCTGACTCAAGGCCTGGGAAAAGCAATAGATGATGGGCTGTTTGGGCACCTGCCCCCCACATGAGATCCCAAAGAAGCCCCTGGCTCATGTCTTCAGCCTGATCTAATCCCAGCTTTCGCAACCATCTGGGGAGAGAACCAGTGGATGTAAGAGTTCTCTCTCCCTGTAACTTTGACTTTCAAATAAATAAATTTTTAAAACAAACTGAGTTACAAGGGCTGAATCTGTCTCTACATACAGATGTAACAGCAACATGCACAAGTCAATAACGTTCCTAACATACAAATTAGAAAAGAGAAAAAGTCACTCATTACAGAAATTATACACATGGAACAATCTTTTGCAGTAAAATAATAAATTATTATTAAAAAGCCTACTCCAAATATATGTCCAAAAAATGCCAACAAACATGTATCACAATACTGAAAAAAGTTTCATAAGGAAATCAGATGTCCACAAGTTAATCTATAAATGTAATTAGTGTTGGGAGGGCAGGGTACTTGCCCTGTAAATTACATAACCTCATTGTTCTGCCCTCCACTTTCCTCACACCTACAGGAAGCTTGGAAAACCTGCACATTTCAATGATCAACATGTTCCTTAGTCTGAAGTAGCCATCATTTCCTCTAAGCATTTGACAGGAGCTGCAGCACTCAAGGTTCTGGGCTGCGGACCCTTAAGTGCTAGGTTCTGCTGATCACGCAGACACCCCAATATGCATAACACCAGGGCAAGGAATGGCAACGCAGCTGATCTTCATGAACTCACTCTTTCCCTTACTCTTCTGTATGGCACAAAGCACTCTCCAAGATGGAGGCAGAGCCAGTACTACTCCCTTCACATACCTCTGTAGCCATCACCACCTTTACCATCCAATAACTTCTCTACACAGCAGTTCCCACACACGTCTACCCCAAAACAGCACTGTTACTCTAGTGACACAATCTCAGACAAATGAATGAACTTAATTAACACAGGTATCTAACACTATCGGGTTTAAATGGTAACAGATATAACCATTTCAGTGCCGGCACAGCTGCTACACACCTGTGAAGGAAGGATAGACTGGGCTGCTTACGTTTCTCTGTCCTGTTTGATAAGGTAGAGGATGACGACCTGCCTCGTAGCCAGTTGGCTGGTTCAGCTCATCTGAGCACAATGCACTTCAGTTTTAATTTTACACATGGAACAAACGAAGTAACTATTCAACACTCAAAGGAACTGCCAGCCTGTTTCCCAAGTTTTCAATGTTATTTATATATTTGAAGACTTACCAAATAATTTTTTTTTAATGGCAGCATTAAGGAGGGAGGGAGACAGAGGAGAAGCAAGTCTTACATCCACAGTTCCACTTACTGGTCC